ATTGACCCATTCAACCTGGACAATGTTTCATGTTTTAATAAAATGTAGAGAGAGAGATTAGTGAATAGAAAAAAAAAAAGGTTGCAAAGATCTCAGATCTGAGATCTTAGAGAGATCTAACCGAATGGATGTCACTGTGTTTTTTGTTGTTGTTGCCATCATCATTGCCGCCTCCATCGTCATCACTGGTGAACGTCAGATGCTCCTCCTCCTCTTCCTTCATCCTCCCCATTCTTCTTCCCTCCTTCCTTTTTTTTCCCCTCTCTTTCCTTTCTTTCTTTCCTTCATTTCTTTCTTTCTTTCTTAACCTACAACCATCTTTTTTTTCTTATAAAAGACTAAGAGTAATAAATATTATTTGCCTTAATATTCCAAACTACCTAAACCATTCGATCCAGGCAATTGAACCACTACCTAGAAATCGATGGCTACAGTGGTTTCATTTCCGGATTGGTTTTTAAAACCTTATTGTATATATGTATTATACATTTTGGGGGTCCACCAATACAGATAAAGTACATCCAATACAAAGGCATATCATATCAATATTTTGATCCTTGTTATTCATACTTTCTCTCCTATCCAAATTATAGACAGCAATGATTGTCTACCTGTTGAAGGGTTGCTAATTTTCTTGCCTTAAACAATAAATAAGGTAATTTAGATATAGTTCATCTCTCTTCTTCTTAGTGAACATGTTGGTCCCTTCTAACAAATTTTGCATTTCCTGCAATAGAAAGGTTTGGACTTTCAATATTTTAGATCAATACGTGTCAAAAGATTTTTTAAGTGCTCATTAATGTGCTAGTGTGCCTACTTGATCCGGACTGGTCCTACTAGTTTCATATATATCAATTATCATTTTATATAATGCAGTTTTGGATACTCTTGTTCTAACTAAAAAATATATCATTTGAACAGAATATTTCCAGAATGCGGAACATTGACGTTGTAGTAGCGTTGCAAGGTGGGTACCTAATTTAAGAACCGTAAAATAAATCAAATTTGGGCCCTTGGGCTAGGCCAGGCCCATTGAAATATTATTAAAACATCAATCCAAGCCTGTACAAGTTGCACCCTTATCCTTACATGCCCATGTAGCGTGTAACTTATAACAGCCCCAATACAAATACCTGCTCTATCTCCTAAGAGAAGGAAGAGCTCAACCTTATACTGGAAAGACATTATATCTAGAAATTAAATGAGAATCTCTCTCTCAGATCAGGTATTAAACCTAAGGGCAAATATAAGAAACTACCCTTATAGTTTAACTAATCGACTAACTCTATTCTTATTATATATATATATATATATATATATATTGTCTTAAAGTATTCTTAAGTTTTTTAATAATTGTCTAAAACCTTTTCTATCATTAACTTTCCACCACATGTGACATCAAGTGACTGATATATTCTTTGAAAATTCCTAAAATACCTTTATCACCTTTTGGAGTGATTTTTTGGGAGTTCCTCCCCAATTACCTCTAATTCTGCCCATCTCCCTGGTCACCTCTGGTTTCGTCCATCTCCCTGCTTCTCTCCTCTCTTTCTCTTTCTAATCAATAGTGAAAGAACTAAATCATATGTGTACCACTATAGTTGTGTTCCCTGCCTTGATTTCCAAAAAGGGGCAATATATTGCTTGAACTCGCTTGAGGATGTCCCTCATGGCTCGTGTTGCAATGAAAGCTTCATGTCAATCACTGAATACGATCAATCACTTAAGAGGGTAGTGAGGAGATACGGAGAGAAACCAAATTGGAAACCCAACAAGTCGGAGATAAACCTTTATTTTCACTTATTTACAACTTACTTCTTCTTCAAAGCTGCATCATCTTGTAGTTGAAAAGACCATATTTACATATACTATGTATACAAGTTCAAATAAATACCCAAATACATTCTTCAATCTAACTAGCTTCAAATTCTTCTAGGATTTCATTAAAACATTTATTCTTTCCCTTTTCCCTTATCCTGATCTGGAAAGCAAAGTGAAACCCACATTTCCAATAAATTCAATCTTCAAGATTCTTTCTTATATCTTTTAAGGGAACAAGTTAAACAAACAAGGGTCAGAATTGAATAGTTGATGATCTCTGCGGTTTCAATAGTCGGTGACAATCAACAGTTGATGACGATTAATAGTCGGTGGAAAACATCGGAATCGGAGTCGTGGAGCATAAGAACAGATGATCAGATTTCAACAGTCAGTGACTATCAACGACTGTTGCCTGCTGATTTGCTTCTGATTCCAACCTCTACGGTTCCGACGTCTCCCCTATGGCACCGAGGAAGAGAATGAGAGGGAGAGGGAAGAGGGGGAAAAGTCGTAACTGCAGTTCCCTTATAGAATATGACTTCTGTGGTTCTAGTGGCTCTCCTATGGCACCGGGGAAAAGAACGAGAGAGAGAGGGAAGAGGGGAAAAAGCTTAAACCTAATTGATTCTATTGAGAAAGCTTTTTTTTCCATATATAAACATTTGTTTAAATGTTTCCTTGTGGATTTGATCCATTGAACCGGGATTTTTTGGTCTTTGTAAACATTTTAGGAATTAAAGGGTAGCAATTGGGTACGTTTGGGTGGGAAGCTTATGGATTGAGAGACAGCCCACCCATTTAATCCGTGAATATCCATCCATATATAGCCTAAATGGATAGCAAGCCACCCAACCCAAATCCCATTTCTTTGACAGCCCTTTCATCCTTTTGCCTTACTGATACAGAAGGTGCATAGGAGAGAGAGAAAAGAGAAAAGTATAGAGGAAGCAAAAAGAGAGAACACCAGGACCTGCCTTTAATACATATATAATAGCAACCCAATGAAGGATACCCATCACCCGACCTGTATATATCACCCATTTAAACTCGGTGCAAGAGAAGCAGAAACTCTGCTCGGGAATCGGGAGCTCGGATCGGACAGAGCAGCGTACATATATCTTTGCTTCTGTCTATGGCCCATGGGGTTAGCACTTAGCAGGTAACAAAAAGGGAAAAGAGAAAAGCTGAAAAAGATTTAATATGAAGTAATACGTCCTGCAAATTAATTAGGTTAATTAATAAAAGCATTGGAAAAGAAGGAAACCTACAGGTGGATGCAGTATGCATATTCTGTTTATTTGTTTGTTAACCAATTGCTTATTAGCCTGTCAAAAAAAGGAGACGGAGAAAGAGAGAGAAGAAAAGGCAATATAATCAAACCATGGATACTAGGGCAAGCAATCCCTATTAGGAGACCATGATTTGCTTTACTTTACAAGTTGGAATTTGAAAATGGGGAAGCGTGAGTTCTACTACCTCCACCTCCCTTAAAAATAGTAAATAATAAGACAGCCTATCACATGTGATGTGATGAGTACTCTGTAGCCTGCCTACTAGTCACCCTTAAGAAAGCATAAACCCGTCAGAAAGCACTTCTGCTTCAGCAGTTTCTTTCTTTCTTTCTTTCTTTCCGTCCCTTCTCCATTTTTAGTTTGCTTCATCCATCCATCTCTTCCATCTCGAAGCCCAAATACGATCTATACCCATTCAATCGTCAACAGCCGCCGATACTCTAACCTCAATCAGCGGACACAAGGTAAACCCCTCCCCCCCTACCTTTGGAGTTGGGGGTACGGATCTTTTCTTCTCTGTTCCTTTATTATTTTGTTTCGTTATTCGCTACAGGCCTAAGATGGGTTCTCTTCAAATGATTCAGTATTCACCATGTAGATGTAGATGTCTAGAACTTGCTTTCTTTCTAGCTCTCTTATCAAATCAAACGAGAGCTCTGAGAAGAGGTTGAAATGATGACCTTTTTTCTTAGGCTAAGTGGGAATGGGAAATCAGTGTGAAGCCCAATACCTTTGGGCTTAGGGATCATTGCTGCACATGATGATATGGCCTGTGGTTTTTGAGTTTCAGGAGGTTAGCTTTTTTGTTTGGTCTTAAATAATAAAATAATAATGGTGGTTTTTTGGTTTTGGGGTGGTTGGATGAAATAGAAATAAAAGCATGTCAAACGAGGCGCCAAGCTGGGCGGATCAGTGGGGAGCGGGCGGCATTGGAGCTGCGGATGATGATGATAACAAGCAGCCCAAAAGCAAGAAAGACGGCAACAGCAAAAAAATGGCGGACATGAAAGCTGCAGCTTCAGCAGGTCTCGGCAAGGCGAAAGCAGCAGCGGTGGTTGGAGCACAGAAAGTCAAGAGTGGGACCTCAGTCGGCATCAAATGGATCAAGGCTCAGTACCAAAAGCGGAGTTCTTCCTCCAAATGACCACCCATGTCAATGTGAGATGTGATCCCTACTCCTAACTCTCCTCAGTGCCAGTAGCGCCCACCCATGTGCTAATGTGCCATTACATGATTACATTGCTCCAACTATTTTATTTTGTTTTAATTTTCAAGTTCGATGAACCACTCATCATCATCCATGGCCATTCCAGTTTGTTGAAGTTCGTTTCTATTACTTTCTTCTTTCTTCTTAAGGATCCCCTTGCCCTTGGTAATGCAAATCGGTACTTTCTACACTGAGAAGTTCAACTGTTGAGCCAGCAAAATACAAATCAAATTTTGGATGTAATGATGCTTTCTAATTCTATGCTCATGGCGGCCTCCACTTTCCCAGAGCCAGAGCCAGAGGGAAGGACTACTTAGCACAATTTTTAACTTCGGGAATTTCGGCTTGTCATGAAATTTCAGAATTTTGGGGAAATTTTTATATCTCCTCGTATATTATTCTAACAATATTCCAAAAAATAGAGCAAGTTTCAAAATTCAGCGATCAGATATGGTTGTGCAGCAAACGACGTTTAAAACCATTGCTACATTGCTACTCCCATTTCTTTTAGGCTTTAGCATTTAGACTTGCCTCCAGACTAGATTAATTTATATAACTGAATGAGAAATTTTCACAAGATGAGCGCCCCTCCCCCCTCCCAACCCGACATGTGACATGTTTGCATAAATGACCAGTAGAACATTTTGGTCCCATATATAAAACTTGTATACAATTTGAGATTGGGGAATAAAGCATTGCATTAATTTGTGCATGCACATTCTATAAACATTCAAATTACCCGAACTATCCAATAGTTAATTGTCTAAGAAGAGAACATCTGGAGATGGAGATAAAAGGGTTTGCTGAGAATTTACATCTTTCTTCATTCTTTTATCTTATTTACATACATTTGACTAAATTAGGTCAGAACCCAAATGTGTTCTCACCGCTGTAAGTCATGTAAAGGAAACCATCTTCATCCTTGTTCTCCTCGTAGATCGCAGACATCATGGCAGCTGCACAAGCCACAAATCCAAAAACATTAAAATGCCACACTTTGATAGAAATGAAACATACACAATTAAGTGGTAAATACTAAATACTATAGCATGGCATAATTCACCTGTTGGGGGTAGAACATTCTTGACAAAAATGAATATGGCCTTCTCAGCGCTGAGTTTTATCCTCTTCCGGACAACATAAACAAACTGACCAACAGTCAAATCTGCAGGAACAAGATACCTGCGTGCACCAACCACACCAGGAAGGGGATAAGATTAACAGTAATTAAAAAATAAAAAAGAAAAACATGAGAAAGAATGAGAAAAATGAAATTTGCAAATAGAAGCCTATAAGGGGAGGATGAGCATGGTTGCACAAACAAGTGAACGTCACTTATGTGAAATTCAGATTCCTCTAAAACCAACCTTCCCTTCAGTCTCAAAAATGAAGTGCCAAAATGTAGGGATGGCCCTTCAAGATTTTGTTCAATCCCACATGGGTACACTTTTAAGTGCCATGGAAGAACAATTTCCTTAGAAGTAATTAGCCATCCGCCAGATATTGTTATCCAATACTCAGATCAGTATATTGATGGTTTCTCCTCAAGTGAAAAGTAACATTTTACGTTCTGTACCTAATTATTTATTGTGTCTAATCATTAAGTCATGAATCTAAGAAGACTACACTACTTGCATTTTAAGGAAGAGGTTAAACAAATGCATACTATATAACCCAAACAAAAACTTCTTCAATCACCATTTGTTTCCCCACACTTGAAACCTACGAATTAGGCACTACAAGCCTAATTCGTTCTATTGCACGGTTGCACCATTAAACAATACCACAAAAGTGTAATTATTACTTCACACATAGAATAACATATACATAAATGTTAGTACTTGTTTCAAATTATCATTAAGCTACATATGCATGTGATATGATAACTACAGAATAGTAAGTATATTGAACCTCATACACAAATTAATTTGACTAAAAGTTTTAACATGTCTACAGTTTTAGTTTCAGTACTCATGGCAGCAATCAGTACTTATCTTTCCAATTAAGATATATTAATTTCAAATAACTTCTGCATCTGCAGCTCATTTTAAATCATGGCAACCAATGGCCACAATGTTACAGTCAGTCACTAAATGAGGTTCACTTCAGTTTATTGATCATGGAATCAAATAGGATAAGATCAAACATGTATTACAAAGTCCTTTAACCTGGAAATGTGAATGATCAACAAGAACACATTATGATATGTAGTTCATGCAACACGCATGAGAGAGAGAGAGAGAGTAAATATAATGCATATAGAATTTTGAACAAAGAAAACAAGAAACAGCACAATATCAACAGATCATTCAATAGTAAAAAAAGTTAATGCTAACAACAGCAAAATGCTTTTCGAAAAACATTCACAAAACCTGGCATGCATAAAAACAACAGAACTAAGACAAAGATGACAAACTATATATATATATATATGGCTTACACTTTTCAAACATCTTTATATGTTATAATATTTAATGCCATTTAGAAATTAATACAAATATAATGGCAGATCTAATGTGTTAAAAATGGAGGATGTCTAAGATGGTGTTTGGAAGCGTGGGCACTTTTTGGGACCGATTTTCAAGATAAAACGCCCATGCTTCCAATACCCGTTTTTCACAAAAAAAAAAAACACTTCTGCCACGTAGGCAGTGAGCAACACTATGCTGTCTGGTAAGGTGATTTTCATCACCGTTTTTCATGTATGTACTGACAGGTAAGCACCACAGGATACACATCAGTCAACCGTTGGGGGAAACGATTCACCGATGCATGAAACGCCAAATTTGGCGTTTCATGCATCAGTGGGGTCCTGATTTACGAGGTATGCCCAATTTTTCAATAAACGCCTGAACCAAGCATTCATATATACGAGTGTTTGTTGAAACGTTTATGTGGATCCGACGTGGCACCATTTTTTTTGAAAAGCGGCCACAGTTCCAATCATCCCCTAAGTGGAGAAAAACATATCAGTTGATAAAAGGAAAGCAATAAACAATCCAGTTGTATTTAGATATGGAAATCAAAGCAAGCAATTATCTGATAAATGAGCAATAAATGCTAGTATGCTACTAACTTCTTCTTGTCAATGTCAGGAATATCACTCCTTTCAGCCTTCTCCACAATCACCTACATAGCACAATCAAATGATAAGCAATAAAGATGCAAAGCAGCAATAATAATAATAATAATAATAATAATAATAATAAGTTCCTTGATTAGTGAGTAATTAAGTTCTTACTGGTATTCTATCAGGATACTTCTCTCTGATCCGAGCAGCTTCTGCCTGCCTCCTCTCTGGCATGTAGAAGCACACAAACCTTAGAACATTTTGCTATTGGTGCATAAATTTCAGAACATACTAACAACTAAACAACTATGAAAAAGGCAAAGCAAGTAACAAGTTAACAATGAATTATGTTTTGCATGGAGGGAAAATTGGCTAGTAAATGTCAGAAAACTTTAACTCCAACCCAAGGATAAAAACCAAAAACAAGATTAGATGGGAGCATGATCATTGATCATCCTACAATGCTGTATGTTTGGAAAAGAAAGAGCAAAAAGAAGGTTCTAACAGAAAGATACTACATACAATTTAAAGATCCCAGAGTTGTCAACCAGAATACTTGCTTGTTTTACATACAACACAAACTTTTGGCAGCAATCAGCAACAATGCAACATAAGTGGCTAAATATAATTCCACACATATAAAGCAAGAAAAGAATTTTCCATTTAATAACCATTTTTGGTGCATTTTCCAAATAGTGAAAAATCCTTTCTGCAAGTGAATGCTTACATTACAATCATTTCACCCTAAGTTAGGTGCAGAATAAATGAGTGGGTGGGTACACATGATACTTCCATTGCAGTCAATCCCCACACATATTTCAACCTTTGGGCTTCCTTAATACCTTTTTCTAATCATGAAACTCCAGAAAATTGTACAAATGGTATATGCTTTCACCTTAGAACTATCCAGTAGTTCAAATCCAAATTTATCATAACAAACTTAATCAAAATGCAAGGAGCAGAATCAACAATGCCAGTTCATAATATCACAGTTTCCTCCACCCAAAACGAAATCCCTTATTTATATTTCAACCTTTGCACCTTCTTATTACCTTTTACTGACAATGAAATTCCAGGAAACTGTACAAATGACATTTGTTTCACCTTACAAATACCCAGTAGTTCAAATCCAATTTATCATAACAAACTTATTCGAAATGCAAAACAATGTCGGTTCATAAAAATTATGGTTTCTTTCCTCCAGCCAAAATGAATATATTAATAAATTCCAGCAATACTCATAGCATGATAACAACAAAAACTAAAACAAAGAATTGAAGTAAAAGAAGGTCATAGCTGATGCTAATTTTATGGAAAAGAAGAGAAAAATAATGAATGTATGTACAAACAACTCATGATTCCAATAGACAAAGAATTTCCTCTTCTAAGCCAAGAAAGAATGCACATGCCTTCCCTCACAACCACATCCCCAGGAAAAGGAATTAGACAGGAGAAAAAAAGTGAATAATATTCCCATACATTAACGAAGTACTCTATGACCTATGATCTCTCTCTCTTAATAAAACCACAATCCTACGAAAAGCCACCACTCGAATTCCACAGATAGAGAAGAGTTAAGTGGTCAGTTAAAACAAGAAAACAGAAAAATCATACATGCTGACATGCAAAAGGAGGAAATTTTGAGATTTCACAACAAATATCTATTAATATTATTGCATCTAGAAAGATCGGAGAAAATTAACTCGTTGACCAATTATTTAGTATTTAAAAAAAAAAGTACTTTGTGGAAGATAAGTGGAGGCCTTTAATTCGTAGTACTCTAACTAGGATAACAAGTGCACAACAAATATCCGAAATTAAAAAAGGGAAAGTACTGGAGAAATTCAAACTCAGAAAAGGCACAAACCAAGTGGATGTTCCAACTTGAAGGAGCTTTTGGCCATTGCGCGACTGGTAGAACGACTATTCTCTGCCAATTTCAAACATCGGAAGAACATAACAGACGGATCAACAAAAAAGAAAGCCGGAACCACATAAAAAGATACAACTTCTCAAACAAGAGTTGTTTAGAGGGAAAACCCAAACCCTAACCTTACCAAGACGTTGATGAATACGGAAAGTAAAGATTGAAGTGCGACTTTAGAATTTCAGATCGATCGAAAAAAGTGATGAATAGAGAACAGAAAATTCTGCGCTGTCCAAATCAAAAACAGGGGAATTAGGAGGAGATGTGAGATTAAATAAAAATAAAGGTAAGGAATTTTGGGGAGAAATTAGGGTTTCTGATCCCAACACGAAACCGGAAGCAACAAACAAAGATGAATTGCCTGTGAAACAAGGAATCTTCCTTACTCCTTACTCCTTACTCCTTACTCCTTAGTTCCCTGCCGTCGTTTTCTTCCTAAAATAAATAAGGTAAATGACACACTCGCCCCTTGCTTAGGGGGTTGGTGACACTTTTACCCCCAAACTTTGTTTTGCGATAAAGGCCCCTCTGTTTCTAGATTTTTCACTTTACCCATCATTAGTTAACTACTTAACTACACAAATATTCCCCTAACTGTCATTTGCATATATATATTAAAGTAATGATTTCAGGCCAAAGCCCCTTATAGTGAGATATGTGGCTCATTTACATTCAGACACCTGCCATTCCAAAGATTTAAACAAAATGAGTACGTGTCAAATTCTGATTAATGATAATTCAAGAACAAAACCTAATAGACATGTATCCAATTCTGATTAGTGGTAGTTTAACAAAAGAGCCCACTAACATGAAGAGTGGAATCTACTACCATGTAGAGTTGTGAGAAGTAGGAAGCTCTCACTTTCAATCATTTCCTAAAAAAAGGAAACTGTGTTATTAATTAATGTTAACTACTAAACTAATTAATTAATTTCAGCTATTGATTACTAATAATAATTACTGTTAACTACTTCTAATTAATTAATTATAACTATTAATCTAGAAAAATAATTATTCTTAATTACTAATTAATTACTATTAACTTTCACTGATAATAATTAATTACTTAAAATTATTTCTTATAATAATTACTGCTAATATTTAATTACTGATAATTTATTACTCATAATATTGCTCATTATTAATTCAAAATGATGATTAATGAATGATAATTAATAAATATTTTCATAATGGTAATTACTAATTCAGAAATAATCATTTCATATTTATATTAACTCATATTAATTATTTTGAAAATAAATATTTATTATTAATTAATTATATTATAATTATTATTAGAAATTAAAATTCATACATTTATATGAAATAATTAATTATATTATTATAAGTAATTATAATTAATAATAATATATATTAGTTAATATAATTATATTATTATTATTATTACCAATAATTATAATTAATTATTACTAATACTAATAATGATCATTATTATTTCAGGATGTTAATTAATTAATGATAATTAATAAGTATTTTAATAATGTTAATTATTAATTGGGAAATAATCATTTTATATTAATATTAATTATTTTACTAAAAGTTGTATTTATAACAAATTAATTAATAAAAATAAAATAATAGTAGTAATAATAATAATACTTTAATATTACTGATTTCAAAATCAATACACACATAATAAGAATATATTATTAGTTAATTATTATTATATTTATAATTATTATTAATTCATAATTATTAATATATTATTAATCTATTAATAATACTGATTATTATTAAAAAAATGTTATTAGCAAAATTTAATTACATAAAATTAATTGCTAAAATTACCCATTTTAATTTGATTAGATAATTAATTAATATATTCTTATTAATTATTATTTACTGAATAATTTTAAATACTCTTTGATTAACGACCTTATTTTTGAATAATTGGTTTTTTGTGTTCAATAATGTGTTTTGCAAAAATCCAAATAATTTTTCATTTGCAATGCTAAACCATTTTATTTTTCTCTTATTCGGTTTTTCAAAAGATAAAAAATTAATTAATGTTATTTACCTATTTTTATCAAATTATGTATTTGTCAAGTTGTTGACATTGATGATGACATTGATGATGACAATGATGATGAGTCAACTTTTTGAAAGAGAGGAGTACTAATAATAATTAACGACTTCTAATTAATTAATTTCAGCTATTAATTACAAATAATAATCTCACTGATATTAATTAATTACTGATAATAATTTCTTATAATAAGTACAGCTAATACTTAATTACTGATATTAAATAATTACTGATAATATTTCTCATTATTAATTGAATGACAATTAAGAATGATTTTCATAATGGTAATTAATAATTTGAAAATAATCATTTTATATTTATATTAACTCATATTAATTATTTTGAAAATAAATATTTAATGTTAATTATTTATATTAGTATTATTGTCAGGAATTATAATTCATACATTTATATGAAATAATTAATTATATTATTATTATCAGTAATTATAATTAAGACTTATATTACTTAATATAATTATATATATATACATTATTATTATCAATAATTATAATTAATTATTACTAATAATAATGATTCCTGATAAAATTTAATTACTGATTATAATTACTTGTTGATAATTAATTCCTTAATTATAACAATGATAATTATTACTTCGGAATGTTAATTAATTAATGATAATTAATAAGTATTTTAATAATGTTAATTATTAATCGGGATAAAATCATTTTATATTTGTATTAATTCATATTAATTATTTTATAAATATATAATTAGTGCTACTTATTTACATTATTGTTATTATAAGTAATTATAATTAATACTGATGTTGCACAATTCGGGCACTCCTAGCTGGCAGCTGGCTGGCTCCTTGCTGGCGATGACGGTACCTGAGAAGAAGACGGTGAAGGATTCCCGGGGGACTTGCTCGATGGGAATACTCCGATGCTTAAGTTAGAACACTGGAGAGAATAGTAAAGAGTGCAAAGGAGGCTAAGAGTGTAGGTCACGCTAGATTACTGAGTTAGCTCGAGAGAAAGTTCGAGTAAGTTCAAGATGAGATCTTAGATATTCCAGAGAGAGCCATTTCCTTCAACTAGGGGTCTCTTATATATGAGCGTTCTTGTCAAATTGGGTGTAACCACCATTGGACCTCTGTCGCAGTCGTTATCTGCAAGGGCTGCGTAGGTAACTGTTGCCGTGTACTACCCAATCGAATGAGTGACACGTCCCGGAAGGACAGACATGACACCACCTGTCAAGAGATGTGGGCGCAGGCTTGTCGGGCTGGCAGGGACTGCGCCGTTGGTCAGGAGACGTGGCGCAGTCTAACGGGTACGGCCTTGTCAGATAGAAGCTTCCTGAAAACATCGTGTCGCTTAGTAGCGAGCTGCCTTGTAGCGAGATACCCTATCGTGAGCTACCTTGTAGCGAGCTCCTGAGGGTATTGCGAGGTGATTCCTCTTGAAATGGCCCCTTAGGCAGTTTTTCTGCCTAAGTATTATCGCAAGCTGGTTACCCTAGCTCGCGAGCTGGGATAGACTTGTCTTGGAGTATTCCCTTTCAGTACATCGGGGGTCCTATAGCTCGCGCTATAGCGGACTCCCCCTATAGCGAGCTATGACATAGCGAGCTGTCCTGCGGACTTGTTACTTAGTCGCGGTCAGACTGTGATGCTGAGCTATCACTTGTGCTGAGTCATGTCCACGTGCCACTGTCTCAAGGGGTCGGGTCAAATCACCCTCCATCAATTGCCCCCCACTACTCGGGCTAAAAGTGTTACCTTAGCGTGAGGAGTTCATGAAGTGTAACCGGTGGATTTGACTGAAGTTCAAACTTGATTGACTGCTCACATTAAATGTGCATGCAGAAGTCAGGGGATTTCTGATTTTTCAAACACCGAGAAACATGCCAAAGCGGCTCTTAACTCTGGAGGTCGTGCAGCCGTCATTACCTCAATCATTGAAGGTGTGTAGCCAGTCACATTTCAGTTTCAGAAGACGTGCGGTCAGCTTGACTGCGGACCGTCAGATCTGTCTCAATCCGAGCCATTGATTTGAGGGCACAGTGGCCATAAATAGGGGGGCCCCAGGCCTCACTTTCTTTTACGCTAACTTGCCTTGTCTTCAGATTCTAAGGTCGCGTCTCCATCTAGCTGCCCGAGCTCTTTTCCTGTTCACACTGTCTCTTCTTTTCTAGTGAGTCTTATCATCTTGTCAATATGTTTGAATATCCCTACCACATTTATTCCTGGGACGGTAACCAGGATGACGCCCCCTCGAGCTCAGGGAGAGCTTGGGGGCAGGCTCCGGAGGCTCGAGAGGCCTCCGGCGAGATGGCTTCCACTTCTCGGGGCAGGGAGCTCGACAGGTTCGGTCCCTCCTCTATGTCGATGGAGAGGCTTAGATCTTTAGTTCTTCATTTTAACCTTCCCGGAGACCTCATCTACAGTCTCCCTTCTGGTAACATTCCCTAGGAGCATGGTCCCAACGGGATAGTGATCTTTTAGGAACAGCTCGAGGCTGGCCTACGTCTTCCTCTGCATCCTCTGATAGTGGAGGTTTTGAACCATTTCAACTTCACCATTGACCAGCTTCACCCCAACTCCATTCGAAATGTAGTTGAGACTATTTCTCTGTTTTATGAGTATTGTCTTCCCCTCAATCTTGATATCCTCTCCACCATCCTCTACATCAAGAATGCTTCTCCCGGAGCGCCTCTAGAAAGGCGTTCCTACTATTTTTCTCCCAGCCGCGGCTTCAAGCTCTTATACGAGCTGCCGAATAGGATCTTGGCCTGGAAGCGAGACTATTTTGTTGTTCGCAACCGCAAAGGGTGGCCCTTCCCAACTCACTAGAGAGCCGCCATCCAGGATTCAGGGGTTGAGTTGGACCCCGAAGTTCGGAAAACGCTGCAGTCCTGGGCAGTAGTTGGCTTCCATTGGTCGGACTACTTGACCGAGGAGAAGCTCGCGTAGGTCGGTCTAAGCCCGGGTAGGTTGCCTTTTAGGTCGTGTAGTGCCTTGTAAATTTTTTTTATTGGACTAATACCTTGTGATTTTTGGGCAGACATCATGTCTGGTGTTAACGCACGTCGCCTTCTGTCCAACAACCAGAAGCGCAAGGCCATGAGGTCGCGTCCTGACCAAGCCTCCACTTTTGGGGGTGCTGAGTTCAAGTCTGCTGACTCGGGCTTCGCTTCTCCACCACCTGAGGTTCCACTCGTCCCATTCGAGGGAGTCGCCACAGAGGGTGGGCCCAAGCTCCCGGCGCAAGGGCAGTTTCCTTCGTCTGGGCCATCCCGCCCCTTCCCCTTCTCGTAGTTCCCTACTGGGAACTGGGAGGGTGTTAATGAC